TCTCTCTCTCTCTCTCACACACACACCCTTACTGTGGCCAGGTGTCTCATTATGCCCTGGTGCTTAAAGGGAAGCTACACATCCAGAGGCAACAAACCTCTGAGTCCCAGTGGTAGGAGGCAGCACCAGGAGGCAGCAGCCTTGGCTTCATCAGCCCTGTTTGCTGGTCCTCCAAAGCAACTGGTCAGCCACTGTGTGAAACCGTATGCTGCGTTAGATGGACCACTGGTCTGATCCAGCAGGGCTCTTCTTGTGTAGCTGGGGAAACATCCAAGGGTGTTGTTGGGAATAAACCAGAATGCCTCCATCCATACATCACACAAAACTAGAATTAAGTCTAACCACAGTTAAGCCAACTGCAAACCACAGGGACTGAAGATGGTTTAAGATATCCTAACTAACCTAACCTAATAGCCTGGCTCCCATTTGGAAGACCACTCTAATCATAGCTTGCATAAATTAAGCCATCGCTCCACATTACACCTGAACTGAACCCCGATGTAATGGGAACCGTTGGCCCTGTTCTGCCAGTACTTTCAGCTTGCTCCAGCTTCAGGTATTACAGGAGGGCTTCATGCAACACTGATAGCACCTCATGCCAGCAGCTCCAGGCTGGATCCTACATCTAGTCCAGCACACACAAGGGCCCCCCCCATCCATACCAGCACCATTCCACTGGTCTTCAGTATGTTCTAAGAATGCCAAGTTGGACAAAGAAGCTCAGTCTCCATCCCACTGCAGTTCATGCACCCCCTTATGATCCTGGCCCTTCTTGCATGCTAGCAAGTGATAACATTTCAGTCGCTTTCGATTTCTTCCCCAGCAACAGCGCTTGGAAAAGGAAACCATCTACCAGAACAAGTGAGCTGTCGCAGGACCTATGCTATGAGGCCTCCTGGAACAGAATGCACCTCCAAAAACACCTCGAGTGTTTGAACAACTGCAAGCGTCTTTTAAATAAAGAAATAGACAAATCTTACACGGTGTATTTGACCAAGCTGTAGATGACCAGTCTTAGTACCAAGGGCCTCTTCCACACTACGCCTGAGAAAGCACTAGCAGATGTTTGAGGGGGGAAATGTACACCTCGTAGAGTTGGGTATGTCAGCAGAGAGACAGGACGAGTGATGGTTAGGTGTGTTCTCAGTGGCAACCCTGACTTCCTTGCCCCGTCATGTCTGAAACGGCATTTAGAGGTTGTAGGGGCAATTCTGCCCTGACCTGGATCTCATCAGATCTCAGAAGCTAAGAAGGGTTGACCCTGGTTAGTATTTGGATGAGAGACTGCCAGTGCTCCCTCTAAGCTGTGGAGTCGTGAGCAAAAATTCTACTTTGTGAGCTACTGGCATTAAAGTTGTGAGTGAGCGATTTGGCTACTGCATAAATTAGTTTGCTCTGGAGCCCTCCTTCCTGAGCTGAGACACAAATGTGTGAGCCGGAGGCTAAAAAACTGTGAGCCAGCTCACACTCACTCAGCTTAGAGGGAACACTGGAGTCCACCAAAGGGAGATGGGAGCTACTATGCAATAACAGGCAACGGCAAACCACCTCTGTCCATCCCTTGCTTTGAAAACCTACAGGACTGCCATAAATTGTCTGCGACTTGATGGCACTCTCCACCAGTGGAGCCCGTTCTAAACTACCTTCAGGCATTTCCCCCCAACATCCGGCTCTTCTCCCTGTCTCCCCTTCATACCCCATCCTTCAGTCTCTGCCTTTATCTTCTGAACAACTGCTGCCTCTTAGCATACACAGAGCGCTGCATTGTTAACTACGCTGGTCAACTCGGTGTAAACACTGCGATTTACACATTGAGGAAATAGGTGGTGGGGAAACCCTGACAAACTTGTTCCTTATCCTTTGTGGTGCCAGGAAGTTGGGCTTGATTTTACTTTGTGGTTTCCAAGCCACATCCTGAACTTGAAAGAGGTGGGAAAGTGACGACAGAAGGAGAAAAGAAGAACAGTTCCAGGAAGTCTTAGAAGTTGCAGAAACAAAGTGGTGGTGGTGGCAGAAACTGAAGCCTGTAATTGTACTGCAAGAATCACGTAATGCAACCGAGACTGCATCTGGCTTTGGCAATGCATGATGTGCAAACCCTTCAGTACTTTTCAAAACAGGACAAAACTATTATCTTTTGTCACTGTGGTATTTTTCAGAACTCCTGGGCCTTATGACTTCCCTACCCACTTAGTACGAAATGGCATATAACTTAAGCCTTCTTCTGTAAGGGGGAATCTCCAGACTTATTGGGAAGCAATCACAGAGGAGAGGTCACGGTGGGATCACTCTCCTTTAAAGAGACACCACACAGCTGATGTCTGATGTCTCAGAGCAGCCTGTGAGGGGGTGTGAGACTGCCAAAATAGCCAGAGTGGCTCCCACCTGCTTGCAAGAAACCTTCTCCCCATGAGAGGCTGGAAGAGACATCGCCTTGGTTTGTCTGAGCTACTATGAGTTTGGAAAACCAGGATTCAGGTCACAAATGATCACACAAACCCCAGTTTGCCTCAGCAAATGCTGGCTTTGTTTCCTTCTCTCCAGGAGGATATCACCAGGGAACAAGCCAGGATAAAACTAGGACTAAGCCAGGGATGCCTGGGTTCAAACATCATGTGAAGGCAAGACTAACTGTGGTTAACAAACCCAATTCAGATCCTGGTTTGCCCAACTAACCATTCATAGTGGAATGGCCCACATTCAGACAATCACACTAACCCCTTGCTAGTCTAAATAAATCACAGTTTCCCATGATGTCTGAACTGAGCCCTATGTGGAAGTGGATCCCGAGTGGCGGCTTCTCAAGGAAAAGTCAGCAGTAGGACATGCCAAGAGGACCTCTCTATGCAAAAGAGCAGCGGTCACTTCGACCCACATGAGCCAAGGCTGAAAGGGCGCTAAAAGCAGCTTAGGACAATCGCAGGTGCCACTGCCCGAGAGCTTTTCATACACTCGGCAGAGTGATCTAGAGCAGAGTTATGCCCTTCTAAGACGCCTTCCTTCAACGGATTGCGAAGGGTGGAAGTCCACTTAGGACAGCACTCTTAAATAAGCCAGCTCGGGGGAATCCCACTTACCATTTTCCACATACGGATGAAAGGGAAGAACCAGGGCTAGAATGACCCTGCCTCTCGTAGGTTCCAGTACACTTCTAATATCTTTTAATACAGTCAATGGCTGATCGCAGCGATCGAGCAGATTCAAGCAGCTGATGACGTCGTACTGGAATCCTGTGTTCTGCCATTCGTTGATGCCCAGCACTCTACGGAGAGGGGGAGAAAGCAGAGGGTTACTTACAACAGGGGTACAGACAGATTGTTCAGGGGCGTGACAAGAAAATTTTGATTGGTGGGGCATGGGAAAATCCAGGGAGGGCGCCCCAGCCATGCCTGCTGCTCCGGTTGCAGCAGCAGAAGCAGCAGCTTCCCTGCGACCTGTAGTCCTCCTCTAGTCGTTTTGATTAGAGAGACTCAATTCTGGGCTGCTTTTCTGTGTAAGCTGGGGGGGGGGATCTCTGACTCTCTGTCTTTCGCATTTTGCATTTTTTTTTTTGCATTTTAAAAAACCTATTTATTTTTTGACTCAATTTTAAAAAACCTATTTATTTTTTGACTCATAACAAAGAAAACGAGACTGAAGCTTCTCTGACTGTCCCTGGGTCATTTTGGAAACCCCACATGCATCTTATATTTCATCTTTTAAAAAATTTGTCGAATTTTTGTCCGAGGGGGCGGAGCACATCTGTAGGGGGCATTGCCTCCAAATGCCCCCCGTGACTACAGGCCTGCATTTCATTACAGTAATCTGGGGCAGGCAAGGCAACTAAGGAAAGGTTATGCCTCGCTCATGACCCTAGGCACATGAACACATGTGAAGTTGGCTTACAGTAAATCAGACCATCGGTCCTTCAAGGGCAGTGTTGTCTACTCAGACTGGCAGTGGCTCTCCAGGGTCTCAGTGGAGGTCTTTCACATCACCTGCTGCATGGACATTTTTAACTAGGTATGCCGGGGATTGAACTGGGGACCTCCGGCAGGCCAATCAGGTGCTCTGCCACTGGGTCACAGACCCTCTACATTCGACTTGCACAGGAACACTGATTTTTTTTAAAGTATTTATTTGCCCAAAGGGATCTAAGAAATCAGAAAGTCACCATCACGCTTCAGAGCACCAACTATTACCCCCTTGCAGAGATTTTGGTAAAGGTGAAGCGTGCCATCAAGTCGCAACTGACTCATGGCGACCTCGTGAAGTCCCTTCTTAGGGTCTTCCAGGCAAAGAGACGGGCAGATGTGATTTTGCCATTGCTTTCCTCTGAGCAGCAGCCCTTCCATCCAAGTATCGACTCTGCTTAGCTTCCGAGCTCTGACAAGATTGGGCTAGCCTAGGCTACTAGGGGCTGCTGCTAGAAATCCTGGTAGCTGCCGCACAATGAGGATCTGAGCTTTCATTTTAGGGGAGGTGGGATTTTTAAGAAATTTAAGAGAAGAAGCAAGTCACTAGTCCTTAAGACTGAGGAGAGCCACATGGGCAGTTCCCTGTTAAGAAGAGGCTTCTCCACACAGCCATGCCCTTGGCAACAATCCACAAACCTGCTCTGCAACCTCAACATGCCAATTTCCCTACTCTCTCTCTCTCTCTCTCTCTCTCTCTCTCTCTCTCTCTCTCTCTCTCTCGCACACAACAACAGAAAAGAATCCTCCCTTCCTCCTGTATTACAATGCTAGTTTCCTAATTTTGCATCAATAAATGCAGTTGGACAAGAATTTTGCATACGAGATAAAATCATAGACATCATGTCTCAAAAAGAAACCAATCCTTACATATCAAAGTTTGTGTCTATTTGGTTTCCTGTTTTAGAATATCTGTCATCTAAGGAAGAGTTTAAATCTGTAGTAGAAACTATTAATCTTATATATTAAGGTTTTCCTAAGATTTCTTTTTTTAAAACAATAATTCTTGGATGACGTCCTTTTTTATTACTTTGTTGGCTGAAGCAAGCCATACTACCAACTCATTCAAATATTAGTTAGACTGTTGTTCAGTTTTGTGTTTTATATATGTATATTTAAAACTGTATATTACTTAAAACCATTTTTTTTTAATGCAGTTGGCTGAGCTTGGGCATTTAAGCTTTCTGATTCTGGGATGTTTCAGTGCATGCTCCCCTGATTGTGCAAGGAGTAATCCAAAATAAGATCTAGAATTTTTGAAATTATAAACTAAGGGAGATTAGCTCAGCACTGATACTGACCCAACAGAGATGTCCTGTTGACCACATGGGATAGTTTTCTATTCCCTCCCCCCCAGTTGCTTGGTTACGTGCCACTTATAACATGATGTACTATTTTGTCCGCTACGCATTCTTATCTGTGGTAAAGACCAGGGTCCAAGTGGGAAAGCTTTCCTATATTTCCTGTGTGGTTGGGATGGTCATCTGTACTGTAATGGGCAACTAATAACATTGAGTGGGGAAGGTAGTCTCCTAAGCTTTTAGAGATCCAGCTTTAACTAACCCTTTCCCTTCCTTACCTTTACTCCACGGTTTTCAGATTTCATAGTATCAAGTGTTCTGTGTTTTGAAAGATTTAATTTAAAAAAAATCATACATGTTGGTGTTTGAGAGTTCACCCCTCCTTACCTAAGAACTGCACCCTGATATCCGTCTACTGCAATTTTAAACCCCTCTTTCCTGAAGGTTTCTCCCGCCGCCCCCCCCCCATTTTACAGAGGTATATAACCCTATGAGGTAGGTTAGGTTGTGGGAGAGAGATAAGAGACAGACCAGTCTAAGGTAATTCTGAATGGCAGCGCTAATTGGGGATGTCGGCCTGGATTTCTCCAATCCCAATCAGGCAGTCCGACCGCTTCACCACCGGCTCTGTTATTAGATGATTTTATTATTGTCGAGTGTACCTTTGTTCGAGATCCTTTTCTCACCCCCCCCATTTTACAGGAAAAGTGAGTTATGTACACACAACAAAGGCATTTAAAAAAAACACCACAGCAAACCCACTTGAATAAATGCCCATGGATGACGGAGTGACATTATACAGAGAGAGGGATCATTTTAAACCTTCCCTCCAGCCACCTACAGCTGCAAAGAAAGAGCCAAAGGAGTAAGAGTCAAAACACTGCAGCAACACATGGAGGGATGGGGAAGAACGAATGCCTTTGCTCCATAGCAACAGACGAAGTCGGTAACTAGGGGAGGAGCATCAGCAAGCCTAAAACATTACAAAATCAGCCTGCGGCACAAATGCTAAGAAGTGAGCTCATTCCTACAGCGGAGCCCAAAGTGAGCAGTGGTTAGAGCACTGGGACTTGGGCTGGAGAGACTCGGGTTCGAATCCACACTAGGCCATGACATTAACTGTGTGTGTAAGTGAGTGGGTGTGACATTGGACCAGTCACCAATTCTTAAGACTAACCTAGAACATCACAAGGTGGTTCTGAGGATAATGTGGAGGATATGAGAACTGCGAATACTGCCTTGAGTGCCTTGGAGGAAATAAATAATAATTGTGTGCGGTCAAGTCGCAACTGACTCATGGTGACCTCAGCAGCATGGGGTTTTCAAGGCAAGAGTTGAGCATAGGTGATTTGCCACTGCCTGCCTCTGCGTAGCAACCCTGGCCTTCCTTGGTGGTCTCCCATCCAAGGACTAACAAGGGCTGACCCTGCTTAGCTTCCAGGATGACAACAGGCCGGTCAGGGGTATTCAGGTGGAAAGGGTGGATAAAAATATAATCTACCGACAGAGAATATTCGTTCACTACAAGGTATGCCAGTTGTCTGCATTCGCCTTTCACACACAAGTCCAAGGTAGTGCCAATACCTGTACTTCTTTTTCTGCAGCTGCCATATCATGGTTTCAGACAATTCGGTGGCATAGATTTCTTCAAAGTGGGGGCTCATGACTTTCGTCACCTCTCCATCTCCGGCTCCTAAGTCAAGAAGCCGACGGGATTTCCAGTCCGGGTTTATCTTAAGCAGTCTCTGAAATTGCTCTGGCGAAAATACAAACATCGAACCTCTTCCCAGCAACCTGAATTTTGAAAGAGACAGAGTTAAGGCTTGGGGGGTTGTTTTAGTGGGAGGAGCAGGCAAAATTGAGAAAAGAGGTACAACATGAGTTTAGGGCAGGGCCAGACATTAGTAGAAGGGATCCTTTAACTGTAACTAAGAGGCCAGGAGCAGGCTATAGGATCATACATTTCCTCCCCTCCCCAGGGAACAGAGGAGGAACCCCACCAGATCAGACCAAGGACGGAGGTCTATCTAGTTCAGTGGTATCTGACATGGCACCTGCCAATGGATTTCTTGGCATCCATTTGCTTGCTGGTCAAAATATCTCTTCCCCAAAGTGAAGAACCCATTCTGGCAGTCCTCTACTTCATGGTCCCCAACATTTTTTGCACCTGTGGGCGCCTTTGGAATTCTGGCAATGGGGTGGCAGACGCAACCACAACATGGCTACCAAAAGAGGTGGAGCCAACTGCAAAATGCCAAGGAGTAGGTTTATGAGTTACTCTAATAGAAACTCTTTTAACATTTCAGATAGTATCTCTGTTTAAAAGGATGCCTTTTAAAATGAATAGAATAATAGAATCATAGAGTTGGAAGGGACCTCCAGGGTCCAACCCGCTGCACAATGCAGGAAGTTCACAAATACCTCCCCCTCCACATCTACAGTGACCGCTGTTCCATGCCCAGAAGATGACAAAAAAACCTCCAGGATCCCCACCCAAAGTGGCCTGGAGAAAAATTGCTTCCTGACCCCAAAGTGGTGACCAGCATTTCCCTGGGTGTGTAAAAAAGGTCCACGAGAACTAAGCACTGAGGCAACCCTTCCTGCCTTCCCTTCTCGTGATCCACCTAGGTTCACAGAATCTGCATTGCTGTCAGATGGCCATCTAGTCTCTGTTTGAAAACCTCCAAAGGAGAGCCCACCACCTCCCAAGGAAGCCTGTTCCGCTGAGTAACCGCTCTGTCAGGAACTTCTTCCTAATGTATTGCTTTAAAATATTTTCTTGCATACCTTCAGTCACACTGTAAAGATTCTTGCCACAAAACAACTATTTTAAAAAATCTGCACAGATAATCAGATCTCTGCTGGCCAATCTGAAGTCCCAGGAGGGGCAAAAGACTCCATCTGGCCCTGCCCACTTTGTAAAAACACTTGGTGGGCCCCAGGAAAGGGGTCAGGGGGCACCATGTTGGAAACTCCCGCTCTACCTCCTTGGAGCTCGAGGTGCTTCACAAAATCTTTAGGGAGCTCCCACTCTGAACAACTGCTTGACTTGAGCGCCACAGAACACCCTGTGTCCTTCCTGTGCAATCGACAGGTGAGATTTTCTGTTCACACACATTCTATTGCACTCAAACACACACACACACACACACCATGAAAAAACGAATGTTGAAAGGTCTGGGTTGAGAAAGAAAGGACCAAAAGGGGAAGAATGAAGTGCACAACACCAGAAGGTGTGTGTGTGGGGGAAACAGATTTAAAAGCGAGGCCGAAGGTGGCACGGTCAGAGCAGCGGGAGAGGAGATTAATATTTTAAAACTGCATAATCTGGCGATTGAGCGGCAAAGACCACAGGAGCCGTCTGGGGCTCCCTCGTGTGACGGGAAGGATCACGGCATCGAAAATGAGCCGTTTATTAAAGAACCTGCGGCAGGTGACGGCCGGGGTCTCTACGGGGCATGTCAGCGGCATCTCTGCCTGTTTGACTTTGAAGGCTCAGTGCGGGAAGATTACCACAGAGGTCCAGGGGGATGAAAGGGGAAGCAGGAAGCACAGAGGGAAGGAAATAATTGGTTAGCGAGACAGAGAGAGAGACAGATAGACAGACAGAAAAGGGGTGGGGTGCAGAGCAGAGCCTCTGAACGAAATCAAACTGCCGTGAAAACCGTGATTGGTACCCGTGTGTCTAAACTGCAGAAAAGCAAACCATGATCAAGGGAGAGGGCTCCAGGAGGCACAAAGAATTAAGTGGCGGTGACGATGAAACAGGATAAAGAAAGCGAGAAAGCAGCATGCATTGATGAATGCGGGAGATAATGGGCTGGAGGAAACTACCTGTTACATTTTGATAAAAAAAGGTGCCGGGGAAAGCATTCAGTCTCGAGTCCCTCTCAGTTTAAAGGCCAGGCCCGCTCCCTGTCCCCAGCGGTAACTCCGAATCTCCACCACATAATTGGTTCCAGAGTATTACCCCCTGAAGGTAGTGTGAAAAACCGCTCAACGTGTCGAAAAGCATTTTGAGCTGTTGGGAAACGGCACGGAAGGGCCGAGGGGGGGGGGGAATACGCTAAGAGGGATGGCACACTTCGGAGGAAATGTTGAATTGAGAAATAAGGCTGGTTCGCAAGATCTTCTTGCGTGCACTCCTCTGAGAGAAAGACGTTAGCTGCTATTCTCAGAACAAATTATATAGCTATATAGGGTTTGGCATCGGAGACAAGATGGGGGGGGGCCTCAAAAAGGAAAGCTGCAATGTGATACTTTCACCAGTGTGCAAACGAGGATGTCAAGCCAGACAATCAGCTAAGGAAAGTAGAGGAGGAAGTTTGGGTTTCTGGCAGAACCTATTATGCCTCAGGGAAATAAGCTCCGCTTAAGAAAGGATGATTTAGACTCAGTCTGGCCCAAACAGCCCCACAGGATGCTGCACCAGCAAATCCTGCTCCTCCCCCAGAAACAGGGGACTAAAAATATTATCCGTTACTAAGCACTGGAGCAGGGTTCCAGCTTCCCAACCCGTTGGAGCCTGCAGGCATCTTTGGAATTCTGAAAAAATGTGGCCGGTGTGGCCACAAAATCATTGCCACAGCACGCCATCAGTGACATGGTGAAGATCTTTGTGCTGCGGCGTCAGCTGCTGCCAGAGCAACATTTTTTTTCAGGAATCTGCACAGCTAATCAGCAGCCTTGCTGGAGAAAAGCTCCCAGAGGAGATCCGGGCCCTGCGGGACCTTGCACAGTTCCGCAGGGCCTGCAAGACGGAGCTCTTCCACCAGGTGTTTGAGTAGGAGCCGCCACGACTGTTACCATCTGTCCTAGCCCTTATTACCAACTCGCCGTGAGTGCAAAAATGGTGGTACTGCGTGGAGCTGTGGCCACTAAGGATACCATCCTGGTGACATCGGTTCCCTTGTTAGTTGTTGTGGAGAGCACTTATGTTGCACTGAATGTTTTTAAAATCTTCCATTATAATGCTGTGATGACAACTATTGGTTTAGTATGGATAAGTATGTAGAGTTACTAGGTTACAGGTCAGAGGCAAAAATGAACTCCATAAAGGGAAGCCATTTCTCTTCGGGACCTTATCACTAGTCTTCTCGTAGCGGCTAAAACTTCCATTGCAGCTGGATGGAAAGCAGATAAAGCTCCATCTCGATCCTGCTGGTTGAATAAAGTATGGGACCACCTAATCTTGGAGAAGATAACGGATCACATTCGCCGATCTGAAATCTACCCTAAACAGTCCAATTTTGGAATCTGCACAGTTAATCAGCAGCCTTACTGGAGAAAAGCCTCACCTGGCCCTGCCCACATTCTAAAAACACCTGGCGGGCACCAGGAAAGACATCAGCGGGGGCCAAAGGCACATCCTTTGCTACCTGTTCCTTGTAACCGAAGACGCTGGGGGCTGAACCTGGGACCATCTACAGTCCTGGCTGTCGGTGCAGACGTGACAGCAGACATCAGGAACGAAGCTGTAAGATTGCATGTGCGTGAAAGATGATGCCCAGGCCAGACATGCTCTTCGAGGACTCCCGAGCTCGTGTGACACAGCTAGATTCAAAGCCTCTCACCAGACGAGTCTCAGGGTTTGTCTGCACCACGGGTGACCATAAGACAGAAAATGGCTCACAGGCCGGTTTCTGGTGCACCATCAGGAGCTATGTGCTCAGTGGTATAGCAGCCATTCTGCATGCAGAAGGTTCCCTAGTTCAGTCTCTGGCAATCTCCACTTGGAAAGAGTCCCAAGCAGCTGGCACTAAGAGCTTTTTCTGCGCCCAGGAGCCACTGCCAAACGGAGTGGACAAAACCGAAAGACTGACGGTGTCGTGGGCCAGCTGGGCCAGTCTGAGCCCAGTGTAGCTGAGGACTCCTCAGGAGTTGAGGAGCCACATGCAGCCAGCTCTGAACCAGCTGAAGTCAGTGAATGAAGAAGAAGAAGAAGAAGAAGAAGAATGAGAGATACAGGAGCCTCAAGAGTCATTGCCGGCAGCTGACCTTGACCCACCCATGCAGGGCTCTGAAGCAGCCGACGAAGCCCAGCGGCAGGAAAGTAGCCCACCAGGCTCCCCCTCGTTAATTGAACAGGGAAGGGAAAAGCTCTGACAAGACTTAAGGACACGCAACCCTCTTGGCTCGGTGCCAGCTGCTTAATGATGGCAGTTCTGAGTAAGTGCAGGAGCACCTCCAAGCAGATGGCTATAAATCAGGCTTGTTAAGGAACGCCTCTATAATCAGACCTGGAGAACTGCAGTCTGTGGAAGCAACCTGTCACAACCCTATGAACTTTGTGACCACAACTCGGGACTCTGCCTGCCTTCTGTGACCTCCGGACTGACCCTCAACTCTGCTTTTTGGGCCTGCCTGAACCTTGCTGATCAACGACTTTGGACTGCCTCGACTCTGCTTTCCTGAACAGCCCATGAACTCTGACTGCTGCTAAACTGGCATTTGATCTCTGGACCGGACTCCTGCCCGTGACCTAGCTCTGTTGCCTTGCTCTGCCTGTATTCCAGGACAGATGACATGATCTGGGAGAAGGCAATTTTCGTAAGGGCTGCCAGGATTATTGCGAAGAGTTCGGGGCAGCAAGGCACTTAGGCAGCTCAGGAGCATGCGATACCGATGAGCTGCGAATCAGGTGCGACAAGATCCTGAGCACTCCACATTCATACTGTCGAAACCCTCCATGGCCCCTCTCATACAGCTCAGTAGCCCCCACTACCTGCAGCTGCAAGTATGATTATAAAATATAAAACCTTGAAGGCTGAAAAAAAAACCCTCCATGGCCCCTCTCCAGTCATACAGCTCAGTAGCCCCCACCACCCGCAGCTGCAAGTAGCAAGTATGATCATAAAATATAAAACCTTGAAGGCTGAAAAATATACCTGGCTCCTGAATTTTTCAGGGTGGCTCATAAAGCTGAAGAAAATTCGGCAAGGCCTGCCATTGGCAGTGGGGGTATAATGCTATTACTGATAATAAAGGCAGAATGAGGGGAGAACACAGTTTCACTTACCCATTAATGGACGTCCTAGACATAAAGAGGCTAAAAACGGACGACACGAAGGAGTGATAAAGCTGAATGAACAGCCAGCCGGATTTCTCGATGCTGTTGTTTAAGAAGATCTGTGTTCCTTGGTCAAGGTAGCTCTGGACAAAGACTGGCTGAAGGGACTCACACAGCTGTTCCGTATTGCACAAGTACCACTACAAAGGGAAACACACAGAGACACACCCAAACACATTAAAAAGCCGTATCATTCACATTTCAGCACTGCTAAACTAAGTGCACACAATTATTTTTTAAGTCTCGGTACCTCTTGTAAAGGAGAGCAACAGTGATTTTATATGCAAGCATTTCAGAACGATATATTATTACTTGTTTGCTCATTCTGGAAGATCAAAGCACCCCGACAAACTGCCTCGTGAACAAATCCTTCAAGAAGAAGAGAAGAGATTGGATTTGTTCTGGAAGATCAAAGCACCCCTGACAAACTGCCTCGTGAACAGATCCTTCAAGAAGAGGAGAAGAGATTGGATTTATACCCTGCCCTTCACTACCCAAAGGAGTCTCAGAGTGGCATACAAACTCCTTTCCCTTCCCCTCCCCACAACAGACATCCTGTGGGGTAGGCGGGGCTGAGAAAGCTCTTTCTGGGACTGCTCTTTTTCAAGAACAGTTGTGCCAGAACTATGGCTTCCTCATGCCAGAACTATGGCTTGCCCAAGTTATTTATTATACACTGAAGAAGCGCGTTTCCTTGCTCAGTTAAGACGTCATAGCACCTGACAACATGCAATTTGCATTGAAATCTCGAGGAGGCCCGCTTCGTCACAGAGCCTAAGAACCTCGCAAAGGAAGACTGCAAGTAAGCTCACCATCCCTGCGATCTGATAGTTCAAAATTGCAAAAAGTGTGGATCATCCCTGCGCAAGCAGGGGGCAAAGCAGAAAATGCTGCCACTAGACAGAGCCTCCAAACCGCAGCACAGGCATAGTGTTGGATGTGCCAATCTGTCCAGGGGGAGATACTCTTTGATCTGCTACTGGTGACACCTTCTGGCCAGTTTGGTTTTGGTATCCCCCCTCTCCCGCCCCAGAAGTGAGGGGATGAGATGGCATCACTGGGTAGAGACTCTGGGACAGATACAGGGTTGTCTGACCTCCTGGGGATCAGCCAAAAGAAATGGTGGGCTTGCAAGGCCATGCCTTCACCCTTTGGAATGTTCCAACTCCTGGTCCAGCATCTACATAATCAAGCGTCCCCTGACAATATACAAATGAGCCATTTTTGTCTACCCATGGAAATAAGGTGCTTACAGGGCTCTTTTTGTAGAAAAAGAGTGAGGGGATGAGATGGCATCACTGAGTAGAGACTCTGGGACAGATACAGGGTTGTCTGACCTCCTGGGGATCAGCCAAAAGAAATGGAGGGCTTGCAAGGCCATGCCTTCACCCTTTGGAATGTTCCAACTCCTGGTCCAGCATCTACATAATCAAGCGTCCCCTGACAATATACAAATGAGCCATTTTTGTCTACCCATGGAAATAAGGTGCTTACAGGGCTCTTTTTGTAGAAAAAGCCCAGCAGGAACTCATTAGAATAGCAGGCCACACCCAACAACAGAAACTCATTAGCATATTAGGTCACACCCCTGCAGCCACACCCCATTAGCGCATTAGTGCATTACTAACCCCATGTTACCAGAAGTGTGGTTATCCAGCCACACCCACCTTTTGCTTGTTATTCTGTTTACCTTGTTTGTTGTCAAAACCCAGGGCTTTTTTGTAGCAGGAACTCCTTTGCCTGTTAGGCCACACACCCCTAATGTAGCCAATCCTAATGAGTTTCTGCTGTTGGGTGTGGCCTATTATGCTAATGAGTTCCTGCTGGGGGTGGCCAACTTGGGAGCCAGCCGGAACTCCGTTCCTGTGCGTTCCTGCCCAAAAATAGCCCTGCTTTTAAAACTACACTTTCCAGCAGCATGCTTTATGGCAGCTTTACAGCAATTCTTGCAGCAACAAAATTCAATTAGGCATGCTTTTCAGTCAGTAGCCACCACGTGATGTTTTACCTTGGGCTCCTTGGACCTCAAAGCCAAAACTAGACATAAGCGCATTGCGAAATTGCTTTGGATGTTTGTTTGGAAACGTCCAGACCGTTCCCGGTTAAGCACCAATCTGCCGGTCTGTGCTGTTCTCCCAACACAAGACACAATATTGAATGAAAATACACAGTAGTTAATGACAAACCTCTTGCGCTTCACAAGGACTTAAAACATAAATCCTGTAGTCAGACTTTTACAAATTTATGACAGTCTTAAAAAACACACACACCAGTGTTAAATTATTTTTTAAAAGAAGCTGATTAAAGTTACTCATATAAGTATTTCTACATCATAAATAAATATTTCTATTTAATTGGAACGTGCTATATACAAACTGATGCAGCAACTTGGAACGATCCATATAAGGTACTGCACAGTGTATAATAAATAACTGCTTGTAAACTACAACTATAATGCAATTATAATTGCACAATTATAAAGCAAGGAAATGCTTGGGGGAGGGGAGAGATACATGATTGTGGAGTCATCCCCCCATCCCTCCAAATCTTGAGCATGCCGGTGTCTCCCCCCTTCCCTCCCCCCTTCACTAACTCTCTTTAGCACAGCTGGAGCATACTCAGTCCTCACTGCAAGGGGATTTTGGGAGCTGGATTTTAATTTACAAAGTCACATTTTTTTTTAGCACAGTTGTGGAGTCTCTGTGCAGGTAGGCAACCCCTACCCTGGCTGTGTCTGCCTTTGCGACTGGCCATAGGCCAGTTTTACTGCCAGACATTGTGATTTTGTTGTTGCTGATATACTAAATTTGCAAACATTTCGAATTTTATATCCAGCACAAGAGCAAACACAAGGAAACTGCACTCCCATCCAATGAGGCAGATGAAAGGAAATACTCCTTTACACAACGAGTGATTAAGATGTAGAATTCACTGCCAGAGGATGTAGTGATGGCTACAGGAATAGACAGCTTTAAAAAGAGAATTAGATAGATTCATGAAGGATAGGTCTATTAGTGGCTACTAGCCACGGTGAATAAACCATCACATTCAGAGGCACAAAACTACTGAATCCCAGTGTCAGGAGGCAACACCATGGAAAAGCCAGGCCCACTATATGCCCTGTTGTTGGACCTCCAGAGGAACTGACTGGCCACCATGTGAGACAGGATGCTGGACTAGATGGACCATTGGTCTGATCCAGCAGGGCTCTTCTTATGTTCTTACAGTATGAGATCTTTCAAAACAACTCTTATTCATTCTGTTATCAACCACATGGAACATATAATCCTGCCTATAACCTGCATCAGAGGCCCTTCTCCATGTACCCCTGCTAACGGAGATGAAGCTGGTGGTGAATAGGTATAAGACCCTTTCAGCAGTGGGACTGGCCACAGCTCTCAGACATTCTTGCTGGTACCCAAGGAACCCTCACTGTCTATATTTCGGCTTCAAGCAAAACCTATTCTGTTTCATACTGCTTCTAATTATTTTTTTTAATTAAACTTTATGTGAATCTTCCTGGCTTGGATTACACTGGACCTGTTCCCTGATGGCATTTCCAATTTATATAGTCAGTCATTCACATGAACACACATGAATCTGCTTTATACTGAATTAGATCACTGGTCTATCAAGGTCAGTATTGTCTACTAAGTCTGGCAATGGCTGTCCTGAATCTCAGGCAGAAGTCTTTCACTTCACCTTCTATCTGGTCCTTTTAACTGGAGATGCCGGGGATTGAACCTGGACCTTCTGCATACCAAGCAGATACTCTACCATTCAGCCATAGCTCCCCTTGAACACATGACCTTCAAGGTCAGTACTGTCTACTCAGTCTGGCAGTGGCCCTCCTGCATCTCAGGTAGAGGTCTTTCACGTCACCTCCTACCTGATCTTTTCAGTTGAAGCTGCTGGGGATGGAACTTGGGACCTGCTGCATGCCAAGCAAAAATGCTCCACCACTGTGCCACAGCCCTTCCCCAATTCTATGCAGCCACTCCAGAGGTCATTTCGGGGGGGATCGCAGTTCCCCCGGGTGAGGTATGGGGGGCAGGGCACATGACGAAGCCCCGCCCCCTGCTTCCGGCCGCCCCGCTTCCGGCCCTCATTCAGCCAGGAGGAGGCAGGAGAAGAGGGAGGGTAAGTTGCTTCCTCCCTGCCTCTCCCCACCCCTGCCTGCCTGGGGCCAGGGAGGGCCCATTGGGCAGGGGGTTGGACTAGATGGTCTGTATGGCCCCTTCCAACTCTATGATTCTATAATTAGAAGTAACAGGGCACAGTGTTACATGGGTAACTGCAAAGCTTTCTACAAAAATGGTTGCTTTTTATTTGTATAGCTAAATAGTATAGTTTGTTTAATGGCTTTCGCCAGCTTATAATACAAAAATAAAACTAGATACAGAGAATAGAAAAATAAGATTCGGATTTAAAATAATATAATATGGAATAAAATCGACCAGAGTTAAGATAAATGGATTATAGCGTAGGATTCATCTTCTCTCTACGTATTGCAAGACGGGCTGCCCAAAACCGAGCAGCAGCCTGGGAAACCTCTGGGTCCACGTCCGAGAGGATGAAATCTTGAATCCAATCTGGGCTGCATACCTAGATTTTACTCTGGATATCAAAGAAAAGTTTCGTGCAAGGCTCCTCATACCAGCAGCACTGTATTAAAACATGTTGTGGAGTCTCTACTTCAAGCGCGCCACAGGGGCAAAAATGCTGGGAGAAGGGGATTTTGTTAATTCTGCCCTCTAAGACCACTCCTCACTAGGGAAAAAGCCCTTCTTTGCTTGGGATTCTCAATGAGGAATAAACAGGACGCTGGAGCTGGATTCTCTAAGGGGACCAGTACATATGGATGGGGAGAGCTTGGCCAAGTCTCCCTGTCTGTCTTGGTCAAAAAGTTTCTGCCTTACCATCGCTTCTCGGCTTTTTGGCTAAGGAGTGTAAGTATTAGCTTTTTATTTGTTCAATGTGTACTATTTTTAATGAGCATATTTTCTGCTTTACTTCACTACTTTGAACAATTCACTTGGAAAATCAGGGTGTACCTTCACTAATAAAAATATTCCAGTTAATTTTGATAAACTTTTTAAAAATTCAGTTTCTTGTTAGGATGCAAATACATTTATTTTTTAAAAAATTATCTCAGAATGATTTTAATTCTTTACGCTACTTAAAAGGAAGGGCTGTGGCTCAGTGGAAGAGTCTCTGCTTTGAATGTCAAAGGTCCAAGGTTCAATCCCCGGCATCTCCAGTTAAAAGGACCAAATAGTAGGTGATGTGAAAGTCCTCTGCCTGAGATCTTGGAGAGCTGCTGCCAGTCTGAGTAGACAATACTGACCTTGATGGACCCGTGGTCTGATCCTGTGTATGTCAGCTTCAAATCTAGTGCATGGAATCATTTAACATTGAACAAGTGTTATAGTTTTATTGTTCATCTTGGATATCTAGAAATATACAGCAACATTAAGTGACAGGCTATTTTGCATACCCCGTGGAGGCAAACCCAACTTTGCCAAAAAGGACACACTTGACTGGAGTGGCAGTCAACCACACCTTTCCGAGGAGCATATTACCCAATATGCATAACTAGAAATGAGCAAATGCAAACTGCCTTTTATATTTGTAGGCACACAATTTAAAATATTAGGTGTACAGCTTTTGAAAAGATAATGTGTGAACTGGCTCGCACTGCCTTGGCTGAAGAAACAGAGTTCTGAAGGAAAGGGGAAGGAAGAAGATCAAGGAGTCAGAGTGCATAGTCCTCAGCGGGAAGCCAAGATAAGGCAGGAAATTTCATCTCCTCACACCCAAGTCTAAGTCTAGGAGACAATGAAGAATGGGTGGGCTAGATTGACTTAATCAACAGTAGACCGTCCTGTCTCATCTTTATCCCCCCTGTCCTCTAGAAAAGCCGAGGGTGGTAGACACGGTTCACACTTATTTCATCCCAAGCCAGCTCTGTGAAGTAGGCTGGGCTGACAGCAACCAGCAAAACTGCTGGGGCTCAGGCCCAACTGTTAGCAGTGTAGGTCTGGGAGGGAAAGTTCATCGCCTCCCATTCACAACTTCGTTCAGGAGGAGAATCACAGTGTAAGAATGGAAAAACAGACGGGTTTGCTTGCTGATTGATGCTCTTATTGGATTGTTGGGTTTGTTGAACACACTGACCCTATGGATGCTGGAAATTAAGCCTCGGCAAGTGTGGCTTTCCTTCCTTCCTCTTTCATAACGATGACACACATTCCACCGCCAACAGAAACAGCCTACAGAAATAGGGCTGAAGCAAGACTAGAGACAAGGTAGGGACAAACTTACAAGGAATGCCAGGGAATTGCATAAGAGCGAACAGAAGCTGGGAGCAGGCACAGAGAAGCTGCTAAATTAAGCTGACAACTCAGTTGTTAGCCTGCTAGCACACCACTAAACACACCGCCATTCCTGCTGCCAACAGGCCGGAGCATAAATCTTTGCACAACTGAAATGGAACTGAAATTAGTCAATGACGTTCTGGCAATCCTGTGCATGTAAGCAACCTGTGCAGTTCAAGAAATGTGTTTGCAACAGAAAGTATCAGCTCCATTGCAAAACTAATATTTCAAACCTGGAAGCAGTAATTATTTTTTTCTGGTGTTATGTAACCAGAAATGTTTTGCTGCTGCTACCGGCAAGTTGAGAAATCTGGGTTCCAGTTCCACCTGTCACTGGTTTGTCACAGTTCCCATTACATAACTTCCATCTATCGCCACCTCAGACTTCACTGGCTTCTTGCAAAAGAGCTGTGTACAAAGTCAAAACTTCCTACCACACCTTACTAAAGGGTGATCCAACAAAAAAAGGAAAGCCCCAAATCGTTCAGATTGTTCCACCCTAACAAAGTTTTGCCACCCACCATCCCCGGGTAAAAATGTGGAGACTGCCAAATTATTCCAGTCATCCCGTCCAGAGCGGGATGCATAGGCATGAACACACATGAAGCTGCCTTTTACTGAGTCACACACCGTTGATCCATCAAGGTCAGTATTGTCTACTTTGACTGGAAGCGGCTCTCCCGGGTCTCAGGCTGAGGTCTTTCCCATCATCTCCTACTTAGTACTTTTCATTGGACATGCCAGGGATTGAACCTGGGACCTCCTGCATGCCAAGCAGATGCTCCACCACTGAGTCACAGCCCCTCCCCTTTGCATAAGCGCCTAAGCTTATTAAGCTAGTCATGAACTTACGAAAATTGGGTTAGGAAGAACCAGGAAGTAGTCTTGTTTTCCCCAGCTTATTCAGTCCATGTTTGCTTAACTTATATTACAAAAGACATAAAGATACCTTGCCGATTGGGACAGTTCCTCTTTTTGAACAGAGGCCATGCTTGTTCTTGCCAGCTGAAGGGCTAATAGTGCCATCATAAGCAGAGTCGCAGCCTTCTGATGCCACAGAAGTCAATGCACTGTAAGTTTCCTCTTCTTCAGACCTGGATAGAATCCTTTATACTGTTATACATTTGCACAGTTTATGGTCCTAAGACATTTTGTGCCCCCAGCGGCAGTTTCCAGTTAGTTTCAGGGAAGGCGGTGGTGGTAAGGAAAAGGCTTTCACATTCACCTTTCCCCTTGCCAACTCTCCACTGAGACTTTCCACCCTTTCTGATTTTTGTTCTTTTCTCCTCTTCCACTTCATGTATTTAGACTTCTCCCCAGCACTGCATGTGCTTCCTAGACGAAAGTAACCTTCCTACGCAGAAGCAACATCCAAACTATTTACATAGCACTTTTTGAGCCTTCAAAGGGCTTCACATATACTCTCTGTATAATAGTGTGTGCGCAGATAGATAGACAGATACAATTAATATGTGTGTGTATGTGTGGGGAGAGAGGGAGAGACAAACAGACAGACAGAGGCAAGCTTTAGACCACCAAGTAAGTTCATGGAAGGGACAAGATTTGCTTAGTTCATGGCACATTGCCATCACTTTCTCCTAACCAAGTTTTTCTCTCACTTCCCTCCTCTCAAAATTGCTACCCACACTGAATGCAGAAAACAGTCCGCATTCAGTCAATGCACCCACTTCCTTGTCCTTTCCGGATTCAGGTAAGAGCACCAGCTCAGCGTGCAGTAAGTTACAGGTTCAATCCCCCCTGTTACAAAGATCAGGTGAAGGGAAAGACCTCTGTCTGAGACCCCTTCAGAGCAGACAACACTGACCTGGATAGACCAAAGATGAGGCAGCTTCTTTATCATATGGCAGAATTACACACAGGAAGTATGTAATATTCATTATTTATTCATTTATCCATCTAATTTATATCCCGTCCTCCCTGCCAAGGCAGGCTCCGAAGGCTCACATAAATATAAAATATGTAACCAAGTTGATACAATGGGTATGCAGACTGACTGGGCAATCCCCCGGTACTAATATCTAGGCAGCTTGGTGTATTCAAACAAGATACTTAATATGGAGACTCCACAGTTCAGTGGCAGAGTAACTGCTTGGCATGGCGAAGGTCCTAGGTTCGGTCCCTGGCAGCCTCAGTTAAAAAGCTTAGCGAAAGACCACTCCCTGAAGAGCGGCTGCCAGTCCGAGCAGACAACACTGACCTAGGCTGATCAGTATAAGGCACCTTCCATGGACACAGATATGTCCTGTGGTGCCCTTAGCTCAGGGGCAGAGCCTCAGAAGGTCCCAGGTTCAACCTGCACGTAAAATGACCCCCTGTCATAACAGAGACCCTTAAACTTTGCCCCCCCCCGCCCCAAAACAAAAAGCTCCCCCACTCAGACTCCCCCCCCATCCTTTCCGTG